CCCCCAATTGCCATGACAAAACATAAGCATGAAATAGCAAGATGAAGATGTCCTTTATGCAGTATATTTTGTGAGCAGTAGGCTAATGTGAAGAAAATATAAATATTTTTAACACAAAGTGCTTCTGCAGCTGCAAGAACAGCTGCAGAAGCATGCTTTTTCTTATAAGTCTTTACATTTTCTTTGTTAGCATAGTGCTAATGTTTAGTGTCAACAATTGACACTAAACCCAACTAATCATTATTGGATTTAAATATTAAATATTTACATTTTACAGTATGGTCATCTAAAGTTTGAGTATTTCTTGGTGACTTTATTTGTGTAGTGGTCGGTTGCAGATATGCGCTGCTTCAGGTTATCGGAGTCTTTATGCAAACTTGATAGTGGTTATCAACTTGTCTGCATAAATTTCATTTAGATCAGTATACAGTTTTGATGGCTGCATGTACTGCACATGCTTCAGAAGAGCAGATTTTGAAGTGTGTAGAACTGCTTCTCTCAAGAAATGCTAATCCTAATGCTGCATGCAGGTAAGCAGGTATTTTGCAGTCCAGATTGCTTAATTATGCCTTCATCTCCTGACAAAACAAATACAGCCCCGCCATGCATTTTTACTGCACTATGCCAATTTTCTGATTGCATTTTTTCTGATTATTTATTCCTAGTCCTTTTGCATTGTTTGTCAGCTGTATTATGATGTATGATAGAATTGTTTATATTTTGCGGTCTACCTTCAGTCTCAATGAGAAAGATGGGCAAATAAATAAATAGGTACATAGATGAGCAGGGTGGAGAACCAACCATTGTATTTCTGGTTAACTAACATGGAGGTGATCTCATGCAGGTTGTCAGAGCACTGGCTACTGAAAGCTTGGATTTATGAAATGATACGTTTGTTCCATTTGCATCGAACCGTGTGAGAAGCCGGTTATTGGTAGCATCTGCCCAAGTAACAATGGAATTTTACTATACATTTTACACCAGGTCAAATCTAAGGGGGTAATAGAAATATACCACTTTCTTGGATGAGCAGTACAGTTTACAGCCCATTGAAGTTACTTTTTCTATGGCTGCCTGTCAGGGTAGGCTCCAGGGTAGCAAGGGAGCTACTCGGAGGGAAACAGCCTTAATTTTAAGCATTCAGGATCTCTTTCTGCAAGATTCTTTGGCTTAAATGATTTATGACCTTCACTCTCAAATATGCCTGACGGGGCTAATATCATAAAATAAAACAATAAAAAATAAAAATCTGTATAAGTTTAATCATAACTGCAACCAGCATAATAAGTGGGAAGAAATAGAGGAAGGAGGTGGAAACATGGGTGAACAAAAAGGTTGTGGTTCCTGAAACCAGTGAGTTGTAGGTGCCAGGCCAGTGTGAAGGAACAGAGCATTCTACAGGTGGGGATTGGGGAAGGCCTCTTCTTGGGTCACTGCCCACCTTGCTTCTGTGGGTACACTTGAGATGAGGCCTTTGTATGGTTAATTGGACAGTATGGGAGGAGGTGGCCTTCAGGTACCCTGATCCTGATTTAGTGCTTTAAAGGTAAGTACCAGCACCTTGAATTGTGACTGATGATTGCCTGTTCAGCAGTGATGCCTACGATCTCAGGTGTCTCTTGCACCCCTTTTTTTATCCAGATCCTTTGTGGAAGTCCATAGACTTACCTGATGAGTATTTACAAGGCTGTGTAACATGGGAAAGGGGCCACTTTTTCTCCTTTCTTTTTGAGAGAGTTACTACTTTGTTTGATCCAGGGAATGATGTGGGCATTGTTTATCTTGACTTCAGTAAGGCTTTTGACAAGATTCCACATGATATTCTTGTTAACAAATTGGTAAAATGAAGTTTGGATCCTATTACTGTTTGGTGGATCTGTAACTGTTTGACAGATCGCACCCAAAGAGTGCTTGTTAATGGTTCCTCTTCCTCTTAGAGAGGAGTGGCAAGGGGAATGCCTCAAGAATCTGTCCTGGGCCCTGTGTTGTTCAGCATCTTTATAAATGACTTGGATGAAGGAATTTGCAGATGATACTAAATTGGGTTGGGGTAGCAAATACAGGCTGAAGAACTGGGCTAAAACTAACAAAATGAATTTCAACAGAGATAAATGTAAAGTTCTGCATTTAGGTAGGAAAAATAAAATGCATAATTATAGGATGAGGGAGATTTATCTTGGCAGTAGCACATGCAAACAAGATCTAGGGGTCTTAGTAGATCACGGAACATGAATCAGCAGTGTGGTGTGATAGTTAAAAAGTCAAATGCAATTTTGGGCAACATTTGCAGAAGTATAGTGTCTAGATCATGCAAAGTGATAATATCACTTTACTCTGCTCAGGTTAGACCTCACTTGGAATACTGTGTTCAGGTTTGGGCACCATAGTTTAAGGAGGATGTTGATAAGCTGGAACGTGTCCAGAGGAGGGTGACAAAGATGGTGAGGGGTCCGGAGACCCAAGTCCTGTGAGGAAAGGTTGAAGGAGCTGGGTACGTTTAGCCTGGAGAGGAGGCAACTGAGTGGTGATATGATAGTCATCTTCAAGTATTTGAGGGGCTTGTCATATAGAGGATGGAGCAGAGTTGTTTTCTGTTGCCCCAAAAGGTTAGATCAGAACCAACAGGATGAAATTGAATCAAAAGACTTGTTGGCTAAATATTAGGAAGAACTTCCTGACAGAGCAATTCCTTAGTGGAGCAGGCTTCCTTGGGAGGTGGTGGGCGTCTTTGGAGGTTTTTAAGCAGAGGGTATATGACCATCTGATGGCAATGCTGATTCCATGACTCACTCTGAATTTAGGCAGATCGTGAGAAGGAGGGCAGGAAGGGATTAGCCAGTGCTCAGCTCTTGTGGCCCTGTCTTACATGCCCAAGGTAATGCCAGTCCCCACTTTTTCCTCCAGGCCAGATTCACCCAGGGATCCTGGAGGTTTTTTTTGCCTTCCTCTGGGCATAGAGTAGGCTTCACAGGGGAGTGGGGAAGTAGCTGTGAATTTCCTGCATTGTGCAGGGGGTTAGACTAGATGACCTGAGTACCTTCCAGCTCTCTGTCTCTGTGTTTTACTATCAAAAAGACATAAACATAATGCTCATGTCACCGTGAAAGTAAGGTGAAGTTTTTCCAAACTCAGTCCTTTTTGAGGAAAAATACATTACATGATACTCACCATTTTTGTACATGATATGCAAAAATAAGGACTGTATTAAAATAACAATTAAAAAGCCCTTAGTTTACCTTTGTTTTATATAAGATACCATACTTGAAAGGAAGACAACTTTTTTTGCTCAATAGAAAGGGGTGGGTCATCTTCTACTTGAGTATACAGATCTGTTGATTTGGTGCTATGCAGATACGGGCGGGGTGGTTGTTCTGAAAGGTGATTCGCTGTGCATGTGGAGAGCTTTGAAGAAAGAGCATGAACTCATTCACCAGCAGAAAGGAGTGTGAAAATGGCAGAATGTCTGGCAAACACTGCTTTTTGAGGGGAGAGAGAAGGAGTTGGGTAGACTTCCTGGCTTTGGAAACTGTAGTTTGTTGCCTGGCAAATGGTAAGAAGTGGTAGTGTGGGAGGATTTGCTCCTCTACTAGTACTGACCAGTGTTTCTGGCATTGAATTTTACTTTTCACAGGCATTTGCTTGAGGGAGGAGTTGCCTAGTACAGCAGTTCTTTTATTGTTCCAGAAGAGGGAAACCCCCAAAGCCTCCAGGTTTCATAGCAGTATTGCACATTAGCTATAAGTGTTAGTGGATATGAGTTTGTGGACATTTTAGCTAGGGAAGGACAAAGACATCCCTGCTGGACTGGTGATATAATACAGTGTTTTGAAATAGTGTGACTTTCCTAGCTTACAGAAAGTATCATGAAAGGAGTGGAGAGCGGTTTAACAGTGCATTCCTGAGGACAGTTACGCCCTTCTAATCCCACTGATTTAAATGGATTTAGAAGGGTGTAATTCTGTTTAGGATTACATTGCCCAGTTAGTCAGTTGTTATCTTAGCCTTTGCCTAGTAGTTTGCTTGCCTTTTTAAATTTCAAACAACGCAATCCAATACTGTTTGAATGCAAAGAGGTGTAAAAAGTAACCTGTAGTCAGTACTGTTTATTGTATACTAGGAATAAGGCTCGTTGTGGAAATAAATACAACGAGCTCTAGAAAGAGGCTCAGGGAGAGTGCCAAGGCCTTGGGCACGCAGCATCAATGTGCTGTGGCAACCTCTGCAGGATATAATAACACAGAGTCCACCATTTTCTCCAGAGGAACTGATCTCTGCTACCTGAAGAGCAGTTGTAATTTTCAGTGATCTCAAGCCCTCACCTGAAGATTGGCAACAATTGTTACCCAGGAAGAAATGGCTGGTTTGGAGGGTGGAGTCTGTGGCATTGTACCTGTCTGAGGTCCCACCCCTCCTCAAACCTCACCCTCTCCAGGCTCCACCCCTCAAATCTGCATGAATTTCCCAACCTGGAGTTGGCAACCCTATCTCCTTCGCAGCCAAGCATCAACCTGCCATTATCTGCCCCTTTGGTTTCGGCTTTGCATTTCCTCCCCCCTCCCTCCTGTAGATCAGTTGTAATTCTGAGTGATTTTCGCCCCTCTCCTGAGATTGGCAACAGTGGTTCCCCAGAAGGGAATGGCTGTTTGGGAGGGTGGAGTCTATGGCATTGTACCTGTCTGAGGTCCCACCCCTCCTCAAGCCTCACCCTCTCCAGGTTCCATCCCTCAAATCTCCAGGAATTTCCCACCTGGAGTTGGCAACCCTATCTCCTTCCCAGCCAATCATCAACCTACCTTTATTTCCCCCTCTCTCGTCAGCTTTCCATTTCCCCCCACACACACACGTGAAGCCTCTTCCGTGCTCTGAAGCCCTGACTGCCACAGAGTCCACCATTTTCTCCAGGGGAACTGATCTCTGCCATCTGGAGAGCAGTTGTAATTCTGAATGATCTCCAGCCCTCACCTGGGGACTGACAACAATGGTTTCCCAGGAGGAAAAGTAGTCTTTCTCCGCAATGGGGACCAAAGCAGCTGACATCATTCTCTTCTCCCCCTTTTGACTTGCACAACAACCCTGTGAGGTAGGTTAGGCTGAAAGTCTGTGACTCGCCCAAAATCAC